ATGAGGTTAAAGTAGAATTTATGAAATCTATGATGATGAAGAGCCCATGTCTGGCAGATGTTAAGCTTCGAGACCAGAAATTGCGGAGAATAAGTAGAATCCTGGAGAAGGACAATTATCTACGAGGACTGTTTGACAATTATTTTAGAATATTGCCATCCAGAATGGAGGCAAATACATATTTGGGGCTAAATACAAAGTTGTTCCAACGTCAATCTATTGACGGCTTCTTCGCGAGCTAGTTTTTCCACTAACCTGAAGTTTATTTGCTAAACAGCAAAATAGAACTTTTAAAGCGAAACATCATTTTGTAAAAGTCACATTCTTGCTGGTAGCCAAAACTAGATGGTAACTATGGCATCCGTAGCATATAGAATTTAGTGACTAACGCATGTTTGCCAATTGATGTTGTTCCCTTGTGGCTGGACGTTTACTGTACGCAGACAATTTTGGTGTCGAGGACTTGTACATGAAATGTTTTTTAATTTGACGAGTTTTCTTGAAGGATGTTTTCTGACTTTTAAAGAAGTCTGTCCTGAAGGGACAGACAAAAGTTGAACTTGGATGACGCGTTGAAGGCTTCTTCGCATAGTTCAAGTGCCGATAAAAGGCTTGCGTCGAGGCAAAAACGCTTATTTTTTTGTTTTTTTGTTTTAAAACAGGCCTCAGATAAATAAAAAATTGCTTATCCCTTCCTGTCGGAATAGGTTCGAAAAGGAAAACTTCATTGACATGGCATCAGCAAAGAGCTGTTTGAAAACCCATCTTTCGCGCATGTTTCGAGGCGTGTTTTACTGTACAGCCGGTCTCGCAACCGATACATCGACAGTTCGAGTCCCGCTCGAGTGGCAGATGCGACGCGGCCCAGCGAGACTGGCGAAAAGAGATCGCATTTCAACAAGACATGTGACAACCACGACACCCTCCGCCGAGACCCACCTTCACGCCGTGGAGGCCAATTTCGCCCGGCAAGCCTCTGTCGCCGCGGGGACCCTTGGCACCTGGTCCTCCCGATTGGCCCGGCAGACCGGGGTCGCCCGATTGTCCCGAGTCTCCTGGCTCGCCCACCATACCGTTCTCGCCAGCAGGACACGCTTTGCAGGGTGGTGAGCTCATTCCTTATGCCGTAAGTTGTGTGTGTGTATGTATGTATATATGTATGTATGCATGTATGCATGTATGTATGTATATATGTATGTATGCATGTATGCATGTATGTATGTATGCATGTATGTATGTATTTATGTATACATGTATTTATGTTTGTATGTATGTATGTATGAATTAATTAATGGATGAATAAATGAGTGAATGTATAAATGTATGTATGTATGTATGTATGCAGGTATTTATGTTTGTATGTATGTATGCAGGTATGTATGTATGCATGTATGTGTGCATGTATGTATGCAGGTACGTATGTATGTATGTATGTATGTATGAATGAATGAATGAATGAATAAATGTATGTATGTATATATGTATGAATGATTGAATGAATAAATGTATGTATGTATGTATGAATTAAG